AGGCCTTGTGAGGATTTTTGGGCTTAACAAGGTACTATTGAAAGTTTGTCCAAAATTTTGGGAAGGTTAGTGCTCCCTTGACAGCCTTATTGAAGAAGGATTCCTTCAAATGGAATGAGGAGGCTGACAAGACATTCACCAAACTCAAGCATGCAATGATAACTACCCCTGTTCTTGCCTTGCCAAACTTTAATAATTATTTGGGATCTGGATTATCTCCAGTTTAGGTGAGAACTGGACCTCTAGTTCCTTTTTCACTTAAGCGAAAATAACCCATTTTTTTCGCTTCAAATAATGACAAAATGGCTTAAGCCAATTTTCATAAAACAAATGGCTTAAGCGAAAAAAAAATGGCTTAAGCGAAAATAATAGGCTTAAGCGAAAATTGAATAGAGAGGTTTAATTTTCACTCAATCTTCTCTTCTCTTTCTTTCTAAACTTAACATTTCCTTCTCAATCTCCATATTCAACCTTTTTTAACCTCTATATTCAACCTTCTTCTTTCTCTTATACTTAACTCTTCTCTTTCCCTTCAAACTCTCTTTTCTTGCAACCTCATACCTAACTCCTCTCCTTCTCTTCTCATTCTCACCTCACCCAATACCTATCTCTCCCTCTTTTATATATACTCAACTCTTCACTTTTCTCTTCTTTCACCGTCATTACTATATCACCCACTCTTCTTGTCTATATCCATTCTTAGGTATGCGGTTGAAGAAAAAGAGAGTTTGAAGGGAAAGAGAAGAGTTAAGTATAAGAGAAAGAAGAAGGTTGAATATGGAGGTTGAGGAGAAAATGTTAGATTTAGGGAGAAGGAGAAGGAAAAGAAAAGATTGAGTGAAAATTAAAGCTTTCTGTCTATTTTTCGCTTAAGCCATTTTTTTTTTAATGAAAATTGGCTTAAGCCATTTTGTCATGATTTTAAGCGAAAATAACCCATTTTCGCTTAAGTAAAAAAAGAACTGAGGTTCAGTTTCTACCTAAACTGGAGACAATCCGGATCTAATTATTTGTTCTTGAAACAGATGCTTCAGGAGCTAGCATTGGCGCAGTTCTGATGCAAGAAGGTCAACCACTTGCCTTCACTAGCAAGGCTTTATCTAAACTTCATCAAGGCATATTTGTCTATGATAAGGAAATGTTTGCTGTAGTACATGCAGTCACAAAATGGCGCCCATACTTACTCAGACGACGTTTCCAAATTTGCACAGATCATATAAGTATTAAATACTTGTTGGAGCAGTGAATAACATCAATGAAACAACAAAAATGGGTAGCAAAATTGTTGGGATATGATTATGAAATTTTATATAAAAAAGGAGCTAAAAATGTTGTTGCTGATGCACTCTTAAGACTCCTAGAGCAAATTGAACTAATTGTTGTCTCTTTTCCAGTTTACAGTATGCATGAAATTATGATAATTTGCTTTATAAGGGGAGAATTTTACTAGCTCCAAATTTAGCCCACAAGAAAACACTTTTGAAGGAGTTACATGCGTCCCCTTTCGCAAGACATTTTGGCTTCCTTCGTACCTATAAATGCATATCTCAAGAATTCTATTGGAAAGGAATGAAGGCTTACATAAAAAAATTTGTGGCAAAATGTGATGTGTGCTAGCAACACAAAGGTGAGATTGTGGTTGTACCTAGCTTGCTTCAACCTTTACCTATCCCTACTGAAGCTTGGGTTGATATATCAATGGATTTTAGAGAAGGACTCCCACCATTGCATGGTAAGACTACTATCCTTGTGTCTGTGGACCGTCTGATAAAATATGCCCACTTTTGTGCATTAAACATTCATGAAATACCGCACTCTATTGTTAGTGATCGGGATAAAACTTTCAATAGCAATTTTTGGAAGGAGCTCTTTTGTTTATAGGGTACTCAACTCAAAATGAGCACCTCGTACCATCCCAAACAGATGGTCAGATTGAAGTTGTCAATCGATGCTTGGAGAGTTATCTTCAATGTTTTGCAAGTGACAAACCTAAGGATTGGATGCAATGGCTCCCTTGAGCAGAATGGTGGTATAACACTACTTACCACTCTTCAACAAAAACAACTCCTTTTGAAGCAATTTATGGTCGAGCTCCACTTATCCTTATGAAGTATACTGTTAGGAGTTTTAAAATTGATCAAGCGAACAAGGAGTTGAATAGTAGAGATAAGGTGTTGCAACTTCTCAAGGACAATTTAAATATTGCCCAACAGCGTATGAAACAACAAGCAGACTAACATCCCAATAATTGAGAATTTTTAGTAGGAGATTGGGTTTTTCTTAGGCTTCAACCTATCGGCAAGCCTCGGTCACACTCCGATCATCTATGAAGCTCTCCCTTTGTTTCTTTGGCCCTTACCAAGTTATTGAACGTATTGGTCCAGTAGCTTATCGCTTAGATTTACCATAAGATTCCAAAATACGTCCAGTTTTTCATGTCTCTTACTCGAAAAAGATTAGGAATGGATCTATTGTGCAATGCCATTTACCACAAGTAGGAGATCATGGGGAAGTTCAAATTCAACCAGAACCTATTTTGGATTGACGCATGGTCAAACGTAATAACAGAGCTATTGTTGAAGTTCTGGTGCAATGGTCAAATCTGCCAATCGAAGATGCAACCTGGAAGCCTTATCATGAGTTGACAATCAAATTTCCAAAATTTTTTCAGTCTTGAGGACAAGACTATTTTGAAGGGAAGGGGATGATAGGATCCTGATTTGTCTTGCTAAATTATTTCCTTAATTATTGTTGTTTAGTTATTTCCTTTATTTTTGCAATCCTTTTATTTAGATTATTAATTGATTTAGGTTATTGAATTATTTTCCTTTATTTAGACTCCTATGCCTATAAATTGTAGATGCATATAGCTTAAGGAAATAAGAAAGTAATTAGCCAAAAGCTCAATTGGAGTGGTCACTTATCCTTTTTTTCTTGTTCCTCTTCTTCTAGAGAACCCTTGGGTCCTATCAATCCAAGAGACAAGTGGAGCTCATGGATTTTCCTAAAAACTTTTGAAATAGAAATTGACAAGAAAATTATTTTAAGTCTTAGAAACAGAATGTAGCTCAAAAAGTGAAGAAACATAACAAAAGAACTACAATGTTTAAAACAATTACTAATGCAGTCATTACTTACTACCAATTGAAGGTCAGAAATACAAAAAACTAATTGTAGGCAACAACGGTTATGGAGAAGGCACGATTACAAGCAATTATGGATAATGAGTTACAGTGGGAGATGACTTTTTGCATCATACACTGCACCTAAAATTTTTTACATGTTAAAATTTTACACCAAGCCAAACACCAGCTTCCAGGAGATTTATAGTTACTGTAGTTCACTGCTAAAATCATACATTTAATTTTTGCAATTTATTTCTAGTTCGTTTGTTCAATTTCTTTCCTTCAATTTAGTTCACTTTTCATCTTATTTCTATAAGCTACATTTAGTTGTTTATCATCTTTTACTACTTTTGTTCGCTTCACAATATTGCTTACATTATTACATTAACAACACACTTAAAAGAATCTAAAGAAAATTTAAAATTTAATCTCCAAGTACTCTTAAATTTATTTATTTACAAGTTATAATTTTCACGATAAATACTATCGCAAAATATTAAAATTTTAGAATTGTCAAACCCAAAACTAGAAAGATCAAATTATGTCCCAAGGCTAGCAAGTTTATCTTGATCTTGGTACAATAAACATCGAAAAACGTTCATCTCGGTCTCGGTACAGAAAACATAAAAAAACCTAAACTTTGTGTATAAAATTATCAAATAACCAAACAATTGACCTCGAAAAACAACAATCAAATTCCTTTTTCAGCATCAAAATCAAAACAAACATTAAAAAAATAGTAATGATATAAGAAACAACAGAAAAGACAAATAAAAAACTTATAAATAAATTTGATTAAACCTTCAGGTATAACAAAAAATGGTTGAGGCCATCCAACTTCGATCGTCACCAAAACATTCCTACCTTTAGACACCTTTTCATATATTCCACCTTTGTGAACAAAATAATTGACCGAAGTACTTAAGGTGTCGAATTTCAAGCCCCTGTTTCGAATCTTCAGTTGAGCAATGTCGTGATTGAAACTAAACTAGCAAAGCGGGCCGACAATCGATCATATAGTTTTTCTCTACCAACTAAACTTTTTTTTTTTTTTCTTCCAATTCAGCTGACTTTGAAGCCAATTGCTCAACAGCCATAACATTTTCCGCCTTCAAGCTCTCCACCTCCTTGTCGGCTTTATTGGCCTTGGACATCTTGTCCCCTTGCGCTTGCAAGGCCTCATCCCGAGCAACCTTTCCTACAGGAGTCTTTCGCAAAATGATGAAGAGGTGGAAGAACAACAAAACTCACAGATTCACTTTGAGATGCAAGCAGAGCAGCTCAAAGCTATATAAGAACAATGCATCTCCATTTTATTAGATAGCCGCACCAAAAATGGGAGAAAATTCATTTCATCATAATTCATTAGTTCCAATTCTATTATATTTTAGGAAAAAGTTTCCTTCATCTCTCTATCCTTTTGGTAGTGTGCAATTTATACCAAAGTTTTAAAATTGTACTCCTGTACAGATATTCAATTTGACTATTAACTCCTAATATACTTCTCCTAGAATCTAAATTGTACAAGACAGAGTAAAACACATTTATTTCCATTTAAAATAAAGGTATTTTTGGTCCAACAAATTTAGCACATGTAAAATCAATGATATTTTTGTCCAATAAATTTAACACATGAAAAAAAATAAAGGATGGACTTATTCACGTAATTTAGGACACGTAATTTAGGAAGTACAAGAGGTAAAACAAACTTTTTCCTGTAATTTAAGTAACCCAAACAATGAGCTTGTTCAAATTCTATTTCATTCCCTTCCGTCTCTTTCCATCAATCCTTACCCTCTATTGCTCATAATATGAATTTTCTTCCTACCATGTTTCGAAACTTAAATATGTAAAGACAACACTAAGAATATAATTAAACCCTTTGCAGCTATAACTAATAAGAAGTAGCATTAAATCCTGCATTTTAAATCTATTGTTCAACTAGAGTAGTTTAATTGAATAGTTCTAGAACATTAAAGTTATAAAAAAAGAAGTGGACGTCTAAAGCAAATCTATAGTGGCCAAATAAAACAAATTTCTCATTAATTGAAAATTTTCACAAGTTTCTTAACTACTGTGTACGTATAAAAAACAAGAATATCTTCTCATATCTCTCTACAGCAATTCCTTTTGGTGTATGCACAACAATCCCCTTGTCAAAATTACAAGGCGAAGTAGGTGGGTATAGGGTCAAGCTTTGGTGTCTTTGACAATGTGCCGTTCCCAGTCAGTAAATTTGGCGCCACAGTATCCTCCACAACAACAGGGGTGACAGGCGTGACTTTCTCTGGTATAACTTTATCACCATCAACCTTACCCAGCACCTCAAAGTGCATCTTCACTGTCTCCGGCTTAGTCCTCCACTCAGGGAAACCCTCCAAACTAGCATCTCCTTCCTTCAGCTTCTTCTCTGCTTCAAAACCTATCTTCAGAAAAGTCTGAGTAGAAACATCTGCCTTCAACAACCTGAAGGAACCCTTCTTGTTAGCCTTAGGACCCAGCACAGAATGCAGCAGTTTCTCCAAACCCAACAAGTTAGTATTTGATCCATTAAGGGAAGCTAGAGGCCACAATGTAGTAAACTGAGTTGGAGTAAGCAGCGTGGGGGCTTCATCCTCAAGATCAACAGTAGACAAAGTCTCAATTGCTTTGCTCTTCGACGGTGAAGAGAGTTCCACAAGACCAGGTGCAAGACGTTTGAGCTTCAACCTGCTATCAGAGGATGACGATGATGCTGAAGAAGGGGCTGCAAGTGATGTAGGACCAACAATTCTAAGTGAGAGAAGGGGAGCACCCTCGGCACGAGATGCTTGGCGAAGATGCTCAGCCAAGGTTAGAAGACCAGCAGCAAAACCATTCTTTGTTCGGTTGAATGGGAGAGGGAAATCAAGGGGTTGGCGAAGACTAACTGATCTAGCACCTTTCACAGTAACCACTGCACCCTCAGCCAAAATCACTTTCTTCAACACGCCAGCATCCACATCATGCTGCAAAATCAAAATAAACATTTTAGCACAAATCATATTCACATTATCCAAACTCAATCCAAAATATTTTGTACCGCTGCTTTAAATTTGATATGGAATTTTTGTATTTGTGTCAATTTTAGTGGTTGAAATATCTGAACTTGAAAACAACCTAAATACACAAATACAGCAACCCCTTCCCTACCCAACCAAGACAAAACCTTAGGTTTCAATATTTAAATATCAGTTTGAGATTTTATGAAATCCTACACAGTACAATTCTTAAAAGCCGTAACAGAAATTACAATAATTAATAAAAAAGTTTTGTTCATCTCAGTCAAGGACTGAGTTTAAATATCTATAAATAAAAGAATTTTATAAAAAATACATATTTATTATATTAAAGTTATAAAATTATACTAAATCTTTCTCTTATTATTAGTTACTTATTTTAGGTCTTAAGGTTAATAAAACCCAAAAACCCTTAAAAAAAAAGGTTCAATTCAATTTCAAGCAGGGAACAACCAATAAGGAAATTAGGGCTTACAGGGAGAGAGAGCCTCATGTCCTTGGCATCTTGAATCCAAAGCTCCATGGGTCCAGCGAGCTGGAACGGAGCCAAAACGGGTAACCCATTTCCCGAAACCCGTTTTTCCTCAACCAACCCGGTTTGGTCCTGAACTTGGAAAATTGGAAGATCGACGTAGTCCCAGCGCTTCATCTCTTCGCGGAGCTTGAAGGGAATAACCTTGTGATCAATCTCTACATCGAATTGGTACTCCACGGAATGCCCCACCTCAGCCTCTCTCGGATCGAAACCCTTAATTTTGAATTCATCCTCGGCTGTGAACCCTAACGATTTTACGATCGATTCCTTCAAATCCTACACAATGCATGAAATCCAAACATTAGACTGAGAACCTCAAACAGTGAATTTTGAAACAAAAAAAGGGTACATACAGAAATAGCCTGGGGGTAAGGGATGTCGGAGGCGAGGGAAGAATGAAGGAGAAGCAAAGCGATTCCAAAGCGAAGAAGCAGTTTCATGGTGTTAAACATTGATGATGCGCGTCGTGAATTGGAAATGAAATTGGAATTGGAATGATTTGAAGGGACAGACTACAAATAATGTGTTTTGATATTGAATGGAAGGCTCTGGTGTGATGACGTGGACCAATGAGAATTGAGAAAGTTATTTGTAGATGAATGTGATTGGTGACCATTCGTGGAGGGAGAACCGTATGAATAGGGGCATCGCGAGGATTCAGTTTTAACTGTTACCTTCACGAAATACGCGGCTTCGATCAAGCCGTGCCATCTACGAAATAATCTTTTCCTAAACGACGACGTTTTGCGTGCCCTTTGATTCTCGAAAAATATTACGGGTGGCAATGGATTCGTTGTCTGCAACTCCAATTTAGATATATTTTAAATCTAATTATAACAATTATATTTTAAATTAATTTATTTTATTTTTTATAAAATTAATTTTAAAACTTAGATTTTATTTAAAATTAATTTTAAATTTAGTAAAATGTATTATAAATAATTTTATATTATCATTATATTATTATATAAAAATAATTAAATTTTATAATAATTAATATAAAATTATATCTTTATATATTTTAATCAGTTAACAACATAATTTTTTATATTCACATATTAAAATTAAATTCACATTTTCCATTTTGTAATATTTACCACATAAACTAATTATATGAATTAAATTTTAAATTATTTATTTTATATTTTTAAAAATTAGTTTAAAACTGATTTTAAATTTTAGATTTAATTTAAAATTGATTTTAAATTTAATTTTGGTCGAAGTTAATTTTAAATTCAATAATTTGTTTTAAGTTAATTTTAAATTTAGTTTTATATTAAATTAGTTTTAAATCTAATTTTAAATTTAAATTTTAAGAAAAATATGATTTTTAATACATTTATAAATTTGATTTTTAAGTTAAAACTAATTTATTGTACTACATCATTACATTATATTAGTGTGTTTTAATTTTTTTAATAATTTTATTAATTATATTATAATTTAGAGAAGCTTTTATAAAATATTTATTACTTTTAAATTATTTTTAATAAATGATGAAAGTTTAAACTAAAAAATATAAAAATAAATGTTAATAATATTAAATAATAATATTATGTTATGATATTTTTAAAATTGAGAACATAAATTTAAATATAAAAATAGTAATAGTAATTAATTTAAAAATATTTGTTATATTTTATATCTTTAATATAAATTATATTTTAAAAATATTATTTTAAATATTTAATCTTAATTATAAGAATTAATTTTTTAAAAATATTTATCGTAAAATTGTAGTCATAATTTTATTTTTTTTGTAAAATATCAGTAGTAAAATTTTGTAAAACGTAAAAAAATGTTTGTAAAGTGAGGTATTTTAATTTGATTGATAAGCGTATTTAGAAATTTTATTGTAATCAAGATTATAATCTTGATAAAGAAAATTGATTTGTATGATAAAAAAATTAGAAATTATGATTGAAAGTTGATAGATTAATTCTCAGTTATTTGTTATTCTAAAATAAATTCAATTACTAAATATAATCTTATATATATATATATATATATATATATATATTTGTAATTATGTCATAAACAACTAAATATTTTAGATAATCCAAATGAAATAAATAATGTTTAAATTATTTTTCTATATACATACTCAATCATTAAACAAACCCATCTACAAGGTTATGCGAATCAGGGCAGTCCTCCGTTAACAAAAAAAATAAGGCTAGTTTCTCCGGTTATTGCATGCTAATTCATGGATAAATGAGCCCTTGAATAATAATAAAAAGGATATGAACCCCCATGAATTATTGAGAAGATGTTTTCTTAGTCAAATAAAAAATTCATGATTAGACCAAAATATTTTTTATGGTGACTAAGATTATAAATAAATCCCGACAAGGATTGAACTTACATTGCAAATTAAAACGTAAGATAAACATACGACATCTAATAAAGACAAAACTTCTGCAATATTTTAACTTGGCATTGCAAGTTTTCTGGGTTGTCTACACCGAGTTGTTAATTGTATATCCTCTTGGCAAGGTTACGTGGTTGTCAGCTGACATAAAGCGCCGAATGCCAATTCCTCTCGTTTGATTCATTTTATTAATAAACATATATAAGCCCCAAGTTATTTCAAATGTATGCTAATCATGAGCTTATTTGGTTAAAAATAACTATCATCCTTGTGATTATTCAAATATACATCACATCGTTCCTTCTCTTTCAAGCCATTGATAAATTCATAACTTTTTTATATTCGCACCAGAAAAGAATATTGTTTATCCTTTCCATCTCTCTCTAAGTATATCTATGTATCTATCTGTAAAAGAATGTTCCTTGCATAAGACCTGCATAAGTGTTAGCGTAAATCATATGTACAAATAACCTGCATAAGTATATCTATGTATCAATTTAGATTTTTCAAAAGACACCATCGGGAAATTCCTCTCGTCAACGATATGCATTGTGCGTTTTTTTCCCTGGTTATCCGTTGAGTAGATTGATGAAGCCAATACCATGTTAAACATATCCCTTCGATGTCTCATGGTGGTTGAAGAACATTTTTTAAAGAAGGAATAATTCTAAATTTTTCTATTTTTTATGCCTATAAATTCTATTATTTATTAAATAAAAAAGTATTAAATATGTTTATGTAGAAGAAAATAAAAACTGCATTTCAGTAGTTTTTTATGGTTTATTACATGAACTTTGGATCTAATTAATATCTCTTTCAAGTAATTTGAAGTCTTCTATCAACAAACCTTCCCATTTTCCACACCAAAAATAGTAAGGAAATTTTTTTTTCACTTTTATGGGTATTATATAGTTATTGAGGAATAGTACAGGTGGACATAGTAGTGTGTTATAATATAACATTTTATCCTATTTTGTAGATATTAATATATGACTTTACAAGCACTTTTGAAGGCAAGAAAGGCAGAACGGATGAAGAAGGAGAGAGTCTACAAAGGTAAGAAGGCTCGAGGGAAAAGGGTTATTGATATTAAGAAGAGGAAAATAATTGGGTGTTTTTTAGAAATTACATTATGCACGAGACAAAAAAAATAAAAATAAAAAATTCTCTAGTGAGTAATTCATTTTAAGAGTGCTATTTTGTATTCCTTTTTTTTTTATATAGTAAATTACACTCTTATTTTTACTGATACTTAAATTACCATTTTATTTTTCGAAAGACAACTATAAGAGTTACACTTCAATTATATATGAATAAATCTCTTAATATAGCGAGTAATTATGAGTATATTTTATCTTTTAATAAATTTTATTATTATTAATTAAATTTAATAACATTATCAAATCTAGTATTTTAAAAGGTAAAATGAATTTTTAAATACTTCTACTTAGGTTTTAAAATTTTATCTAAGATTTTTATTTTACCTTTTCAGGTTTTAAAAAGAATAGTATATATTCAAAATTAGCTAATAATTATGGCAGGAATCATTGGATAAAAAACTTTAAAAAGACTCATTTACGTTAAAATGAACTCAAAGATAATATATTCATTTTTAAGGTAAAAGTTGTATCTTTTAAAATAAGAGAAAAAAATTATACCATAAACATTTTTCGGGGCAAAGAAGAAAGTAATTTACTACATGTTTTTTAACTTTTATTTTGTCCTGCAACCATTTTTCAAATTAAAACATGAAATAGGCATGGTTATGTAGGTTTTCATTTCTTGGCAAATAAAATATTTTGTTTATGAGCGGACAACAAATACCTTGTTATTTGTTTATTTATTTATTTGAGGGTTGGGAATTTGGAAATATGATATTGGGTTAAATGGCCGGTAAGTTGGAGCAATTATCAGAACCTCACCTCAAAATTTTGGGGTATGCCAAAACGGCATTGATAGCATTATTGTTTTTGCAAAACATCACGTTGAGGCCATGCAGTATCTTGTATGATACCACGTATCTTATATATATTGTAAAAGGTGCAAGTATTCCATCACTATCAATTTTCAACCAAACTTTTACAAGCATATTTAGTTTCAAATAAAAAAGAAACTCAAGACCACTTGGGAAAAAATAACAAGACTCAACAAAGGCCTGTTTGTCAGGATTTAGGTAAGAAAGGGATGGAAAACAGGTTAAATTGAATTTTTCAACCTCCTGCCAAAAAATGCCTAAGATGCTCTACGTTCAATGTTGAAACTGGAGAGTGAAAATAACACGGTCAACAAGTTGACCATGCAAAAACAAAACATAGCTAGAAAAACCCTCCTGCAAAAATGAACCTCAGAGCAAACATTGTTGGTGTAGTGATTTGATTAAGATGGTAGACATTGCAGGCCTTGGAAACATAATTATTACTGAAGAACGTAAACTTGACATGAACTTCTATACTGATTTCACTCCTATTCTTCTGGGGACGATAGATACTACATATCGTGGCATATTACATGAATATGAAATTTCTTCACATGAAAGGTGAAAAAGCTGAGCGTAAACTTCTCACAAGATCCTTCACTGTCATGCCAAATTCCATATCCATCTGCAAGTTGCAGAAATAATTTTCTTATTAAAAGAAAATTATACTTTAAATGGAAGATGATGATGAAAAACAACCATTAATGCGTACAAATTGACCATTTTATTTAATAAGTGGATTAACTATTTAAACCACTTTAGGTGTTACTGCTATATTGGAACATATATAAAGAGAACATTTCCATTTTTAGAACATGAAAACAATAAATTTAGATAGTATGATTATATATTTATATGTGGTGAAAATTAAAAATTAATCAGTAGTTATATAAATACTTAAAAAACCATTAATTTATGTTCTAATTTTAACTATTTTAAATATAATAATTTTATATTTATTATTTTTACTTTCTCGTGCTAATAAAGTGTTCTAACATGAGTGTATCTCTTTCTATCTATATATATACTGCTTTGTGTGAAATCCCTTGTTTCAGTCAGCAGAGGTGCAAAAATTACCTGAGCAATAATAGTTATATCCAGGGCGAAACTACCAAATGTCAAGGCACTGCTATTGATGACTTTTAGATGGAGTTTCTCAATTTCGCTGATTGTTTTCTCTATAACTCCTTTATTCTTCTCACAATGTACTCTTATGAGGACATTTCTTTCACAAAATCGTGCTTCAATTTCCGGTAGAGCCTCATTCAATGTATTACCACCAGTGTCTGAAGAAGAAGAGTCTTCAGAATCATTAGATAGTTGGGATTTCTTCACAATTACCACAGATTGCACAGTTTTCTTCCTGTTCTGTTCCTCCTCAAGAGCACTCACTTTCTCTTGCATTTGTTTCAAGTACCTTATAGCTTCTCCAAGAACAGAAGCTTTGTCCATCTGTTAGTAGGGAATTAAAAAAAATGAGACTTCAAAGATGGTTTAAGGTTATAAGTGTCAAAACCAAGTTAAGCAAGTAGCAGCAGGATGGACAACTATTAACTACTACAACAGCAACAAAAACTACTACTACTATTACTAGTATATAATATTACATAATGAAGAGCTTTCTTATCCTAATCAAATTGATAAAATACCAAGGGAAGATATCAAGATCTTTTGTAGTTTCTTGTGAGGCTGAGATGAAAGATGTTTTGACAACATGAAGCAAGAAGAAATCAATATTATGTAGTAAAATAAATATCTTGATAAACTTATGTTTTTAGCTGGTTTTTCCTGTCCGAAAACCTCCAACATATAACGTCATGAAAGACAAAAGCAGAAAACTAATGACAAAAAGGGCATTAACAACATTCTTTTATACCTTTTTTAGGCCAGGAACAAGAGCTGATAGAGCAATGAACCGCTGGCTGAGCTTCTCTCGCCGCTTCCTTTCAGCTATTATATGGTCATGAGGTTGAGAAACTTTAGGACGTGTCTCAATCTTTTTGGCCTCTTGGCAAGCCTTGAAGGCATAGTTTTGATTCCCCAAGGTTCCCTGAGAGATCAACATGTCTGCAAGAGTATTGTTATTGATTTTAGGACACACCATCTCCACCTTAGGCTTCACCAGTCCCAATTCACTTGTGTAATTAGAATCAACAAATGAAAGAAGATTTGAGCAAGAAGCAAATTGTGTTTCTGATGACTGTTGACTTTTGCTGTGACTCCAGCTGTTGTTTTTGAGCTGTTTTGTAGGTCTTTCAATTCCACTTGAAGTTTCCATGGATGTTTTGGAATTGAAGTTTGGGTTATCAGAGACTGAATGCTTTTGTAAAATCTCTCCAAAAGCAGCACCTGTTAAGCTAGTTGTATCAATAGGGTTTAAGTTCCACTGGTGGAGAAAACTAGGATCCTCTATTATACCCTGCAAATAAGAACATAATACTCGCTGTACAAAACTTTCAGAAGGTTCATAGATTTCTATGAATGAAGCTCTAGCCAGAACTATTCAACTATATATGAATATTTCAGCCATTTATTGAAAATTTTCCTTGTTTCCCAATTTAAATCTCCATGTGTTAAATGAATCCAAAATAAAGTTAGACACTGTCAATGTAATAAATGATCCTCTATTTACCTTTGTTCCAAGAATAATTATTTAGAAGAGGATATATATCTTACCAGTTCAGATAACCCTCTGATTGATGAAATCTCCATATGAAAACTCCTGCAATCAAAACAGCTGATGATAATATCCTGGAAGAGAAGTCAGAAGCAAAAGCTGAGTAGTTTTGGTACTTAAATTTCATCTAGCTAATAGTAATGTTTGCCAAATAGCCATTACGCCAAATCCATGAACATGCACTAAAATCAATTATATCTCAACTGAAATGAGAATAATTCTTCAGAACTTGCCTTCATACACTATAAAGATCTTAAAAATAATGTTCCAAGATGGAGAAGAAGCTTACTGATGAATGGATGCGGTAGCTTTCAATGTTGTTGGTCACCTCAGCAGTTGCTAATTATATATTTTGTTGTTGTAATTATGTGTATAGTCTCACCTCACTGTATTCCAACATATAACAGTTGCACTATGATGCTCACGGGTTGTTGATGTGAATTGGCTTATGCACAACAATGGAAGCCTGTTTTCAACCGAGGACAATAGACTTATCCCATTTTATATTTTAGAGCCTCCTTCATGCTGACAAATAAATACCTCCACAACTTGTTGTTTTGCGGACTTTGGCGGTGTTCTTCACCAACTAGACATTGAAATTTTGATGATGGATTGCAAATCAAAGGACAATTCTTCAGCATGTGGCCCCTCAGCCACGTCTCAAGCCTAAAGGTTATTCGCCTAACTCTTTTTTACCCTTTTGTTCATTTTTTCTATGTTACTTTCTTTGATCCTTCCCCTTCAATTCCTCATTCTCTTGGTCAAAAATCCTTTGAAAATCATATAAAACAAATAAGCAAGAGCTTATCAGCAATTAACAAAATAGTGCAAGCATGTGTGATATTGTAAGTCGATACTTGCAATAATTACTAGTTGGTAAGTTGTCAATTTCCAATATGAATGAAGAGCTTGGTTTTGAAGGACACCTCCAAACCCTTTTTTTTTTGGTGAAATAGTTCAGAGTTTCCATTGACTAGAGAAATTTTTAGCCAATTGCCAATGAGCATGTGTGAGGGATAGTGCGGGGCCCTTCGAACCGGCATATTAAAGAGTCCACACAATAATTAAATGGATATTCAAAATTGTATAGGTGATTATTTTGTCGTTTGCAAAGAAGTGGGAACAGAAGTTAACCAATAATTAGAAAAAAAAAATAGTACCATTTTTATGATCAAAAGGTATAAAATAATACTGGTGGAGAGAATTTTCAAATAGTTTTCTCAATGAGTTGAAACCATCCCAGAAACTCGGAGCCAGAGTGGCTAGCTTATCCTGATTCAAGTGGGAATGGTTGAGTCCAGTATGGACCTGCTGGCTTAGAAATAGTGGTGTTGTGTGCTGGAACTGCAACTATTTACGTTACACTTCTTTTCTAGAAATAATACGTGGACTTGTTACTCTCGCTTTCTCTTCTGGCGGTTCCAACCTCTTCAAATTGTAAAGAAAATTTGAAAATGACAACTTGTTAATTTCAAAAGAATGATTAAAAAGACACATTCCAAGTCTAAACTCTAAAGTAAATTTTTGTTTTTGCTAGCAAAACTTAAGTGACGTGTTCACATTTTTTTTTATTTCATTTAACTTGAGAGCGTATCTCAAAGTAATCATATAATACAAGTATTTATTGACAATTTAAAGGTTGCAAGGAAATGAATCCTCTGTAATCTGAGAATTCTGAACCATGAAAAATCTCGGATAAAATAACGAAATATGGAGGGTAAGTATATATATAATTCATCAACTTTAACCAATAACCATTAAATTAGGAATTGGATATCTTGCAGCATAAAAAATCGCAGAGAATCAAAACCCTTGTTTCAAAATATCGAACATCAAAAAATGATATTCAATTTTTAAAGTATCTTCAATTTTATTTTACATGTAATTTATACATAATAAGGGAATTTATATCTTCTTATACAGTAGTTCCAAACACGCATTATGTGCATTAAATAAATAAGGTCACATCAGGATTTACAAATATTTATTAAATGAGAAATATAAACATTTATTGTATAAAAAATTTAATACAACAGATATTTATTATTATTTAGTCTTGGAAGAGAGCGATTGTATTGAGGGTCTGTGGTTTTTAAAGGATAAAAAGATTGAATCCAAAATTAGATGTATATATATATATATCTGTGTGTGTATATAGTTTAATATAAAGAGTAAAATTATTGCAACGACAAAAAATGTAATTTATATGTTATTTTTACATAATTTTAATTTTTTAAAAGTATGCATAAAAAACTGTAAAAAAGTTTATTAAATATTTTACTTTAGAGTAATTTTATTTATAATATCAAGATTAAAGAAAGGTTTATATATATATATATAATATACTAAAAAATCTAGGTCACACTTTATTTAATTATATAAAAACGGATTTAGCTTTTACATTCAAACAGTCCAACAATTTATTCAAATACGTTGAAGACAACTTAAATACACTGGATCGAAGAATCAGCGGCAATTGACAACGCAGCTAATGCCATCGAATCAAATCCCTTGCAAATTCTACCACACGCAAAACGCCAAAATCTGCCTACCATTTATTCCATGGATCACATCATCTACTAAACTAAATCGGTTTCAATCAAATCATTACTATCAAATATATCATCTCTGCTTCCCAGTTTCCATCATATCTAAGCACCAGCATTATGATCCTATTTGCTAAAGAAAGCCTTTTGTTTATGATACTCGTAAGAGTGAAAACAGGGTAAGAATAGAAAGCACTTCGATTGGGTATACTACTTTGAATGGTAGACCCATTTTTATGCATTACAATTAACCAAATTCTTGAATCTTCCCATGCTATAATCTAAATCTTAATGAAAACGAAACTTTCCCACTTCGACCTTATAAAAGTTGGTAAATATTTGCAACGATAGGTTGAAGTTATCTCCCTTACCACGATACAAAATTTTCGATAATTTTGAGTATAAAAGAATGTGTGAAGATCTCTTATCAATTATAAATAGTATGCACGCATACAAGCATTGCGTGCATACATTTCTGATATAGAGGCCATGGAACCTTGCACATAAAAACTTAAGCAGCAATAAAGGGAAGAGTAACCTTGAAGGTCAACCAAACGGGAAGCAAAATAAATACACTCAAATTTGAATTTATTTTAATGTTATAAATTACAACTTTCAGGCTATGCAAATTTAAAAGGAAGAAAGCAGAGTTTTAATTCATGTATTAGTCACAACTGCAATGGATACTGCTTAAAAAAAAATTCTAAAAAAAAAAGAAATTATTTTTAACTCATGAATTTATTTATTTATTTATTTTTATATTAATCTTGTTTTAGACTTCTTCATAATTTTATCCAAACAAAACTTATTTGAATGAAAATTGTTAAACTAAGTCTGATGTGATTATTGATAAAAATAGAAATAATTGTAAATTATTTTGTATTAATTTTGTATTATTTTATATTAAGTAGATTTTTAATATAGTCTAGCCATTTATGGCAAATTGATACTCACATATTGTATCTTAGAATAATCTAATTTGTAGCCTGAATAGTTGTTATATATTTTGTATATATATTGATCAATCGTGAAATGAAAAGAGGACAAAATCATATTCTTACATGGTATCAAAGCTTCTACAACTCAACCTAATTACATATCCTGCCATTCTCTGCAACCATGTTTGCAACTTCCAAATTTTATCCTGCTTTGTCTATCACCAATGTGAAAACTCTTATCCCCGTCACGTTGGACTTGGAATCGAGACAATACCATTCACGAGCAATGTTGTTCAAAGTTCAAGCAAGGGTTCACGATGTGCTTGAACATATTATCACACCTACGGATGCAAAGGAGAAAAAGGCGGCTGACAAGACCAAAGCCGACGATCTCCCTCTATGGAAGCGGTTTGACACGATGGTCTTGCAGTGGATTTATGCCACAGTCTCAACTGACATCCTCACCTCCATTCTCATTGACGATGACACGGCTAAACATGCATGGCAAAGTGTTGTTGATCTCTTTCATGACAATAAGAATACAAGAGCTATGTACCTTAATAAGGAATTCACCAACATAAGTTTTGTTGATTTTTCGACGACAAATGCATATTGCAGTCGTCTCAAAAGTCTTGTTGATCAACTAGCCAATGTTGGAGCTCCGGTCAATGACCACAATATGATTTTGAAAATGCTTCAAAGTTTGATAGAACCATACTCTAATTTTGTCACTGTGATGTGAAACAAGAAAACCCTACCTAGTTTTGCTATAGCTCAATCCAAAATTGCTTTGGAGGAGACCACTATCATGGAGCGAGCAAAACAAGAATCTAGTTCCATCGCCCTTCTCACTACTGCTTATTCTAATGATAATGGTTCCTCTTCCCAAACATGGTTTTGGTGGTAAGTCTGGTGGCGATGGCTAGGCTAGTGATGGATGCGGCAGCAACTGCGGAGGTGGTCATCCCAGCAGTGGTGGACAGCCAGTGCAGCAACAATGGTCTCCACCTCCTTGATGGGCGTCGATGCTAGCTCCTTGGGCCATACCTCAATGCCCATACCTTACTCAACCTTGGCCTGGGCATGCTGGGCCATAACAGTCTTGTGTATTGGGTTCAAGACCACAGTAGCAATGGGCCTATGCAGCGGCTCAACACTGGACTCTAACGAACATCGAATTAGTCATGCACATTATGTCCCTTTCTCAATCTGATCCGAATTGGTATATGGACACTGGGGTGATGTCTCACATGACGTCCGCACAAGGTAATCTCTCGTCTTATTTTAATTTGAGCAAAAATAATGGTATTATTGTTGGTAGCAATCTAAGGAAGTTTACTGTTGATAATAATATACGTGTGGTTTTTGATCCATTTGGATTCTCTATGAATGATTTGTAGACGGGGACATTACTAATGAGATATGATAGCATGAGTTAGCTTTACCCCATCACTTCCACTAGTCAAATAACAAGTTTTCCTCATTTTGCTTATTTAGCATTGTCTCTTTGGCATGCTCGTTTGGGTCACCCGAGAACTTTGGTGTTAGATTTACTTCGGCAAAATAAAATGATTGATTGTACTAGTATCTCTAGGTCTAATGTTTGTCAATCTTGTGTATTCGAAAAACATATTAAGTTTCCTTTTGTTGCATCCACATCTATGACATGCCTTTTGACATTATTCATAGTGATATTTGGATACTCTCGTTCTGAGTTCATTGAGACATCGTTATTATATCCTTTTTCTAGATGATTATTCTAAATATTTGTGAACTTTCCCTATTGTTAAAAAATCTCATGTTTTTTTTCATTTTCACAACTCTCAAAGCTCATATTTGTACTAAGTTTGAACGTGACATTAAAAATATACAATGTGATAATGGGAAGGAGTTTGATAATAACTTTTTTTTGGCAATATTGTAAGTCAAATGACATTTCTTTCTGTTTTTCTTGTCCA